TCGCACAAAAATATCGTTGAAGCACGACCCAGCAGGTAGCCCGCTGGTAGCATACTGCACCGCCAGGCTGTGGTCAGAGCCTAACCTTAAGATCCTAGGGCCTCGCCAAAAATAGAAAACCATCTTGATGATCACTGGTTCGAGCCCGACCTCCAGGCTGCGCTCCTTGAGTTCCTGGAGGTCAAAACTCTCATAATACTTAGTGCCATCCCAAGAGAACCCCGCCGTGACTCCTCCGCCTTCCACCTGGGCTTCCGCCTTGGCAGCCTGGCCCCACACGCAAGCTTCCGCCGACTTCCCCGCGCCGAAGGCCCAGCACCTCCTGGGGTGACTGACGTTGAGCGGGGTGAGGTGGGGTCGCCTTAACCTTTCCCACAAACGAACAGGGGCAGCGCAGAGCAAGATCGGACGAAGACCACCCTTGGGTTTCTCGAGCAAGGGAAACAGCATCCAGCACAGAGCCCCCCGAGGGAACAATCCCAAATTCTCCGACGCTTGAGACAGGCAGGCCAGGGTGTTCAACCCTTCGTCGCAAAGAAAGGCAACGTGCCGCACGTGCACCCCATCCAGGGACTGAGCTGTGTGCGGCGAGAAGCTCTTGGCCGCCGAACGAATAGCCTCAGGGCTGAGGCGGCCGAGGCAATGCCTGTCAGGCACCTCGACGGGGGGAGGGGAGGAGGACGCATACCAAAAGGTCTCGAGAATCTCAGCCTCCTTGGCCAACAAAACACGCGGGTCCGACGTAAAAACACCAGGAGATTTCTCGGTCACCGCGGGCTCCCATTTAACCTTGAGACGGGTGCGGCTGTGCATCTTGCGCGCTGATCCCTGCAGCGCTGCAGCTTGCCGTTGGTCCCACCCCTTCTTTTCCCTTCCGTCCAAGCCTTACCGAGCCTCCGTGAAGTCCTCCTCCCAACCCGCCAGAAGCCCGGCAAACTGGTCGACCCAGTCGGGCAGGCCGCGCAAGGAGCGCGGCCACGCGGCCATCTCCTGGCGGGCCTTGGCAACAGCAACGTCAAGCCTAGCCGAGAGACCTTCGGCATCAAAAGGTCGCGCAACCATGTCAACGATGTTGCACGCCGCTTGGACCTCGGACTGATCGGCTAAAGTATTCATCTGGACCACCAGCCTCTGGCTAGTGTTGAGAAGGTCCTTAGTATACTGCTGCAGCCAGACCCAACCAACCCAGACACGGACTTCGCCTTCCTCCTTTCTCTTAGGGGGCACCATAACCGAGGCCCACTGGGGGACCAAAGGGAGCCCTTTCTTTCCCTTCTTACGCACAGGGGCATCTAACTTACGCTCAAGCTCGAGCTCCGTGGCACCCGGGAAAGCTTTCCAAGCGACGTCCAGCGCAGCCCAAGCAGCGCCCACCGCTTGGTCACTGGCGACGAAGTTGGCTTGCTCAGCCTGCCCGCGCGCCTCCGACCAATCAGCATTACAACAGCATGGTCCCAACGGGAGCTCAGTGGGGAGCCTCTGGTGGCTAGTGTAAACCAACTGGTGCAACTTGACAGCCCCAGGCCTGAGATGCAGCTGAACGGGGTGGTGGGGCCTCTTGACCCATGCACTGTCAACCTTGACGGTCTGCACCAACTTGCTGAAGGCCGTGGACGCGAGAAAAAAATCAATCTTGGTATTAGCCTGCGGTGTCACGTACGCGGTGGACTCGGGCTGCGTGATCAGCAACCCAGCGCGCCGCGGCATACCAGACATCTCCAAACATGTTGAGCTGAAGTTCCAATCAGCCCCCAGCAGTGCAAGGTGCGCCCCCTCCATGATCTGACCTGCCATACGTATGATATGCAAGCTACGTGGACTAAGTCCTTCACCTGTGTAAAGATACGCACTACCAACCAACAGAGGGGGCCACTTGGGGATATCGACCATGGCGAAGACTAGCCTGTGCTCTACTGCAATGCCTCGAGGCAAAGAGTCTGGCCACCTTAGTCCAACAGTCACTCTGGCGAAGATGGCGACTCCAGCGGAAGTCTGTCCCTGAGCACATGCCGCGGCAGGTGTGCACAACAGGTTCCATCCCACAGCCTTGGCCGAACCCACTCGCTCCCCCAATCGATCTTCATCAGTACCGACATAACACGAGGGCCTGGGTCGACGCGAACCTCTTCTTAAGTGTGCCCCAGCTGTTCCCGTTAGAACTTTCAAAAACATGAGACGTATCAATGTCTTTGACACGGGGGGCGGCTCTTGGCGGGCAGCCTACCCCATGCTTAGACAACTTAAAGACCCGTGCATCTCGGCGCGAAGTCACATGCTACCCCACGCGGGCGCACTCCGCTGGGGTCATGAAAGCCGTCGTCAGACGCTAGCGGCAGAGGCACATCATCTGACTTCTGCTCCATGCGCAGGTCATCTGACTGCTGCTCAAGCCGCTGAAGGGGAAACCAGAGAGCCTGCATCACACGATAATCAAGCTGCACAAGCCAAAGACTCGAAAAGCAGCAATCGAACAAACACATACCTACTTCATCGATGCACGAACTCCTCCAACGCTTGTTACACACGACACAATCCTTGGCGTCAAAGCTGCGACGTCTTGGGACGTTTCTCTCTGGCACCCATGATCGCTTCCAGGATAGCCCTCTTGTCACCCTTGTGCTTCTCCCAGAAATCATCCGCCGCCTGCTCATCCACGAACATGTCGTCGAGCTCGTCGTCGTCCGCGGGCACAGGCTGGCCCACATGTGCACCAGGCGCTGCCTCAGGCGGTGCCACTGGTGTCCCAGGCCGCTGAGCACCCGACGTGACATGTAGGCGAAACAACTTGGCGGACTCCTTGAACGGCTCAGAATCCACCATCGCCATGATCTCCACGCTGCCATCCAGGAGCTCCTGCTGGACGCCGAAGGTGTCGTCCGCCGTCGACTCACCGAGTGGCAAGGTAGTAACCAACTGTCGTTGAAGCTCAGCGCATTTCTTCTGAATATTGTCTCGCTTCTGCACCAACTCACTCCTCTCCTTTTGCATATCGTCCAGCCTCTTAGTGATGTCTGTGACCTCAGACTCCACCTTGGCCAGACGGGTCTTACATCTGTTGAGCCTGTGCCCCGCGTTGTTGCGCTGCGTGAGGTCTGGCTTTCGTGCTTCGATCTGCGCCCTGACCCCTCGGAGGGCCTCCTCCATGATAGCCTTGGCCGCCGATGTCGACTCGCACTTGCGCGCTGCGATGGCCAACTCCAACTGAGTGGCCCCAGCGCGCAAAGGATCCTCCGACTCCTTGTCATCCTTGGCCGTGGCCGTAGGCCCACCGCCTCCGCCGCCACGTTGGGCCGAGGCCTTGGCGCCTCCAGCGACGAACTGCTCCACCCGCTTGATGAGCTCCTGGACTTGCTTCTCAAGCCTCTGCTCACGCTTCGAGCCGACGGCAGGGGGGCGGGCGCCGCCGCCGCCGCCGCGAGGAGCACCGCGACCGCCAGGATCCTGCTGCACACGCTTGAGCACCGCCTGCGGGGCGCTGGCGCCGCAGCGGCAGCGCAGCCGGCACGCCCAGTTCGATGTGAGCCCGTACTGCTGGCAGCCCCAGAAAGGCCTCTTGGGCCCCTGGACCACTGCACCACCCATGGGTGCCTCACGGCGGAGGTCTTGGAAGACTGCGGGGTTTGAGCTACCCCAAAACTGCACAAGCCAAAAAGGCACGCGACAGCGACTGTCGCAAGCTCAGACCCTGAGCCAGAACGGCTGACACGGTAGTGCACGGGCAGCTGGTCCAGTATCGTGGTGAGTGTCATCTCGTTGCCGTGTACTTCTTGAACCAGAATCAGGTGTCGCTGTTGAAGGAGGTGCTTGATCTTGTTGAGCTTCTGACGTCGCAGCTGGTGGTTCCAGCAACAGAGTCCGCGAGCGCTCCGCGAAGCAACCCGGAGACCACGCCGATCTCCACCGTTGACCTCCAAGGACTGGGACCGCTTGCTAGGCTAAAGTCCATTCTGAAGTGTCCACGCTCTGGAGTTGTTGCTTGAACTGCGCGCTGTCGCCCTGGAAACAAATGTTGTGCTTTGCCACCACCTGCGGAGGCCATGCCAATCGAGTCGGCTCGTCCACTCCCTGAGGCGAGATCTCCACGATGGGCGTCGCGCTGATGCTGATGATGCCCCTGGACCTGAGGGGCTTCCAGTCCTTGTCCTGGTAGGCGCGCTGCAAGATGCAGAGAAGACGTTTCCCATGGACTTCGCGCCGCACCTGCTTCGGGCTCTTGTCAGGGTTGACGTGCAAGGCCTCCTGTGCCCCCGTGACGCTCTTGGCCGTGAAGCGTCGCCAGGTGCCACCTGGAAATTGAAGGTGTTGCGCGAGACGAACGGCTCGGGCGACGCCAGCAGGGCCACCTGAGAGATGAAGATGAAAGAGCTTGCCAGGAGAATCGCCATGAAGAGCACATTGACTGGACGCCAGGCCCGCGTCCTTGACCCAATCGGCGATGGCCACCTCGACTTCGCTGAACGTGGTGGGTTGAGAGCAGCCGATGCGGAAGACGCTCGGGTCGGCGGGGTGGACGTAGGCGGCGAGCCTGGCCAGGTCGATGGCCGTGTCTTGAGCAGTTTGGGCCTGGGCAAGGCTCCGCTGCACGGCGTCCAGGTCGTCGCGGAGCACCTTCTGGTCCTGGGCCATGGTGTCAGTCTTGTCCTGGAGCCGCCTGATGTCGTGGTCATGTCCGTCCAACCGAGCCGCCTGGGGGCGCATGAGTTCCAGCACCGTGTCCCGCATGTTGGAGTGCGCCATGCCCATGATAGAGTTGACCTCGGTGCGCATCCCCCCGAGCTGCTGCTAAAAGGCCGCCGTGACCGCGACCCCAATGCTCTCGACCGTGGTGAGCGGAGCCGGCTGAGGACGCTGCTCACGCCAAGGATCACCATCACCTTGAAGAGGATCGGGGCGGCTGCGTGGGGCCTCAGCTCGTGGTGGGGGTCGTTCATGGTCACGGAACGTCGGTGCGAGATCAGCGGTTGCAGCGAGTCGTGCCCGTTCGTCATGGGGAATGCGAGCTAGTGGATGAGCAACGTTAGGGGCACGGTGGCCACCAGTAGAGCCAGCAGCGCCTCGATGGTGGTAGCGTGGGGGTGGGGCAGAAACATCCCTCGGCGACCTCCCACTGGAACGCGAAGACGAGCGACCCCGTCATCGATCACGGCGGCGTTCATCCCGTCGGTCGTGTCGACGTCGGCGATGGTGCTGCGACCCTCCACATTCGCTGCGAGAGGCGGAGGTCCCATCGCTTGGCATGAGCAGATGCTAGACGGAGGTATGAAGGGGAAGTGTTGTCAGCTCTGGGAGAATGAGCCTGGAGGTCGCACGCTGAACAAGATAAGAGTGGCCGCAACCGCCCCTGTAGCCAAGGCTCTCGGACCAGGCCCTCGGCTGCGTCCGAGCTCGAAGAGCCAGGCCGCACGTTTCGAACTTGAGCCAAAATGGCTACGGAGGAGGAGGAAGGAGGGGGAAGAGGAGGATGAGGGAGGAGGAGGAGGAGGAGGAGGAGGAGGAGGAGGAGGAGGAGGAGGAGAAGGATTCTACACAGGCCACCTCAAGCTTTTCGCGCCGCGCCCCGCGGAGCGCGGCGCGCTGGTCCTCTTCGCGCCCTTGCGCCGCCACCCTGGAGAAGGGCCGCTCTTTGGAAGCGTAATATTGGGGCCCAACTCTGCTCAAGAGCTTTCGAAGAGCACCTTTTTGAGCGGAGGCGGGTCCCGAACATCCTGCCCCCGAGGGGTTGAAACACTTTGGGGCCCGCCTCCGCACAGGAGCGTTCGCAGAGAAGCCTCTGAGCGGAGGCGGGCCCCATAGCTGCAGCCCCGCGAGCCCTGACTACCTGCCAGACCACCCCAACCCCCAATCTAACATGAACATCCAAGTTTCGGATTGGGGGGGATACGGGTTCCACATGTGTTGGTTTTTCCGATGTTCCCCGACCCCCCCACTGGAAATCGAGGGCTGGGGTGGTTTGGTGGACGGTGACAGATAACAGGGCATATGTCGACCCCATATCCCAGACATCGTCGGGTTTTCGAATGGAACACAAATTTGTGCCCCAATTCTGGGATACACGATGGGGGGCGTCCATCCTCGATAGTGGTGCGGCCGAATCGCCCCCTTGGGGTGTATCCCAGGGTTTCCCCCTTGTTCGGAGCGGCCGAACTTTTCCGGCGACGCTCGGGGATCGGGGGAGAAAAATCACCTGCGAGCACATGGCCCCCCACGGGCCTGGGACTTCTGCAGCGCCGCCAGGCACGCGCGCTGCACCTGCCGCAGCCACTCCAGCGCCTCGCCCTCCGAGAGTCTCGTGGCCTCCCCGCGGTGGTGCGCGCGCGCGGCGCTCCTCAACGAGAGGGCTCATGCAGGCGAGGAGGGACCGAGGCCGCGCTAACGGCGATACTGCTTGACGGTGGGTGGTGCTGGGAACTGGATTGCAGGAAACCACGAGCCACGCTTCCCTACATCTCCAACGTGGGAACGTATCGAACGAAAACGGCACAGCGAAGTGTAGGAAAGCACGAGCCCCGCGCTCCCACAATACCGAAACCTACATCGCCGTTGCCTACATCGCCGTTAGCGTGTCTACGGAGGGAGGAAGGCACACCAATCGGAAGCTCGGCATACAGTAGGAGCTCGACCACAGGAAACCTTCCACAAGACCCAACCCTGAGACCCCAGCACGTCCATCGATTTCTGGTTTTTGAGCGTCACACGCTTTCCACGGCAAAACCGTCCACGCATCCTGGAGGCAAGCAGGATGTGTCTTGGCATGGGCTTCCACTGTACCCAATCGGAAGAAGGCACACAAATACAGGTATCGCCCCTGGGCCATCCCCCGGCGATCTTCGGACCCGGGTCAATCCAGACCCGGGTCAGTCAGGTCTTGAAGAATCCTGCAAGATCCTGCAAAATCCTGTACCCATACCCGGGTCAATGCAAAGGGTCCTGAAAGGTCCTGCAGGATCCTGCACCCAAACCCGGGTCAATGCGACCCTGGCCCTGCAGGATCCTGCAAGGTCGGGCGCTCTGGCTGACCCCCGTTTGCATCGCAAGGACCGCCAGCACGCCGCCAGGCACCGCTACGGGCGTGCGAGAGCGCCGTCGGGGCGGTGCTCGGGCAATCGCCGCCACAGGCACGCCAACACCTCACCGTTCAACGCCTGCACCGACATCGCCACCAATGCTGCCATAACCGCCACGAAGTCAGACACCACCACCGCAGCCACTACCACCGTCAGCACTGGGACCACCAGGACCACAACCGCCATCACCACCAACACTGCAACAACCAAACAGAACACCCCTCACGCTCGTGTGCTGATGCTGCGATGCTGCCAGGTGCCACCAGGCGAGTAACAAGTCCATCAAACCTTGAGGCGGGGACATCCCCCCCACACATACGCTCTCAGTACTTACTTTCCGTGTTTCCTGTTTGCACGTTTCGACATTGGGCGGAAAGGGGAGGGGAGGGGAGGGGAGGTGTCTGGCTCCGGACCTCTGCTGAATGCGCCTGTTTGCAGCAGTGCGCCCCATAGGGGAGACTCCACCTGCTCGAAACAGGTGCCAAAAAAAAGCCAAGATCTACTCCATGGGGTGGGGGAGGAGGGGGGGCCAAGGGCTCGCGCCGATCGGCAAAACAATGACTAAGAAAAAGATCACCTCTGGTTGGCACCCGCCCACCCAAACCCCCTCCTCCTCCTCCTCCTCCTCCTCCTCCTCCTCCTCCTCCTCCTCCTCCTCCTCCTCCTCCCCGCCTCCTGATCCTGCCCCCAGCCCGTCCCTCTCCGCTGCTTCGTGCAAGAGGCAGAGCAGACTCGGACCCATGCAGCGCGGGCCAGACGGAGCCGAGCTCACGATGCAGCTGGCTCGGATCCCTGGCACGTGGCAGGATGGAACATGATCGCACCCTCGCCAACGAACACTGCCTGGGCCCTAAAGGAGCCTAAACGATCGGCCTTCACCAAGAAGCAAGCATCGGCGGCAAGTGAGAAGGCGAATGCCTTCTCAGAAGGCTCGGAAGTCCCCAGGCCTTCTGAGAAGGTTTCTATGCCTTCCCCGAAGACATAAACAACTTCTCAGAAGGCGCGAGGGCTTCTCAGAAGCCCCCCCGCCTTCTAAGAGGGCCTTCTCCTTCTCAGTTCCACCCCTCGTTCGCCGCCGAAAGCAGACCCTCGAAACAGCGGCTCTGCGCTACATCAAGACTGCAAGGGCGCGCTGGCGTGGAACGCTGACGACGTGGAGAGGCGCCTCACGGCCCCACGACATGAAACATTTGGAAGGCGACCACGACATCTGACATTTGGAAGGCGAGAGGTGTACCGCAAGATCGAGCGCGCATTCTTCTGTGGTGACTCATGGGAGGCTCCTGTATCACCTCTGTTGGCCCTTGCAACTCGACGCCAAATCGACGCCAACCCACGCTAGTCGGAGCTAATCGACGCTAAATCGGCGAGATCTAATCGATTACCAGGCGCTCAACGACGCCAGTGCGCGCTCAAGACATAATTACGAGGGTGCATAAGGCTCCCATGATTTGCTACCGAAGCTTTCGTTGAGCCTCGGAGATGGCACACAGATGGCTCCAGATCAGACAAACACCGTTGACGCCGACTATCGTGAGGTTGCGAGTGCGCTTTGTTGGGCCCCATCCCGCACGTCGCACGCTCCTCACCAACGCCCAAACAGTGCGCCTGCTGACGCGAGATTTGCCTTCTCGGGCACGCTCTGCACTGGCAATTTCGATGGAGAAAGCGAGCTAGTCAATACACCCGGGCCAACTTTCGATCATGCTGCTGGTCAACTGCTTGACCGTCTATTGAGATTGCGCAGCAAGTGAGGGCATGGAGTCAGGGAAACACGCTGAAACACGCTTGGTTCGCCAATCTAGACGGTGGCGGGCTTGTACGTTCGTGTGCCTGTCCTTGACTCACCTTTCTAAGTCCATGCCTCTCTCTCTCTCTCTCGAGCAGTCAAAACACACGTCCACCGTGATGCGCTCAGAACACCTGTTCGGCTAGATACAGTGCTCAGGGCATGAGGCACATAGCAACATAAACATATCACCCAAGGGAGAGGATGGATGAGGAAAGGGGACGGGAGGGGAAGAGGAGGAAAGGAGGACGAGGATTGAATGAAGAAGGAAAAGGCAAATGACGACGACGGAGGACGGAGGAGGAGGGACAATGCCAAGAACGAGTAGGATTATCAATGCCGAAAGGAAACGCGCGAGCTGCAGGATGAGTCCGCTGCTGTGCGCGGACCCCCCCACACGCCGAGAGATGCCGCCTGCCCACCTCGCCGACCCTGGCGGCACCCCGGGGGAAACAAAAAGGTACCGATACAGCTACAGTAGGAGCTCGACCACGAGAAGCCGTCCACGAGGAACGCAGCCCTGAGACCCCAGGACGTGCCCGACTTAACTGTACTCCCCATAGCCAGGCCGTGGCGACGAGGGCACTACAGGGTGAGCAGCGGCAGCGGCATCGGCTTCTTCTGCTGAAGCCCAATATTCGGGGGGAGCGAAAGGGGGGGATAGCAAAGGGTAGGGTAGAAAATCACGCTCACTTAGCTAGTTTCCCCGGCGCCTCCCGGCGCCAGGAGGCGCCCATGTATCGAGAACTGGGCACGGCGGCGGGGCCGCAACCCGTTACATGCAGCAGATTTCGTACCCCCCCTTCTTTCTTTTCGCTGGGCCCGACATGCGAGCGTTTTTCGAACGAGGTTGGCCAGCGAACGTGGCAACGGATGGGCCGAAGGGGCAAGGATGCAAGGGTACCCTTGGGAAGGTTGCCCATTCCTCTTTTGTGCCTTTGACTGTAGGGGGCACTGTCCAGGGCACTGGCCCAAGGAGGGGAACATCGAACTGGACTCGGCGACCGATGAATCGGCGATAGGCCCAAGATAGCGAACCCGCATGTTCCTGGGCAGGGTGTGCTATCGGGCCCCTTTCGGCGACGAGTGGGCGATTGGGGGTCGGTGCATCCCCCCCCTTGCCTGCCCCCCACTTGACGTTGCACCTGACCTCGTCCGCAACGTCCTCGCCCTCCTGATTCGGCGGCGAGCAAGCTGGAAGTGAGAAAGAGGAGGCCTTCTCAGAAGGCGGCGGGGCTTTTCAGAAGCTCTCTGGCCTTCTGAGAAGTGTTCTGCGTCCTCCAGGATGGCTTGGGAAACTTCTCAGAGGGCCCCAGGGCCGCGCTAACGGCGATGTTGGCTAACACGATGTTGGGAACCCGATGTTTGTGACACCGAGCTCGCGTAGAACAAAGTGTAGGAAATCACGAACCACATTTTCCTACATTTCAAATGCGCGAATGTATCGATCGAGAACGACGCAGCGAACTGTGGGAAAGCACTAACCACGATGTCCTACGATTGGTATGGCCACGACCCACTCCCACCTACAATGCCGAAGCCTGCATCGCCGTTACCTACATTGCCGTTAGCGCGTCTACGGGGGCTGGAGGCCTTCCGATCCTTCGGAGAAGGCCCGGCCCGTCGCACCTCCCCCCCCCCCGCGCGCCGCAGACTGATCATACCGGCCCCGGCCGCACCCCGAGGGCCGCCGCGGAGCGGGGGCCTGCGCGTGCTTCAGCAGCAGGAAGGGCGAGCACAGCGCCAACTCCCTCAGCCTCACGGCCCGCCACAGGAGCGCCTCCTCGCCGGCCTCTGCGCAGGGCGGGGGCGCGCTCGAAAAGGCGCAGCGGCCCAGCCACGCACGTGCCTAGACGTCTGGCGGCTGGAGCAAGTTCGAAAACTTCGCCGTCGTGGGTCTTTGGAGGCCGACTTCGGGCCCCGTGGCCGTCAAGAACGAAGCAGGACGAACACCAGGCCCCAGGGAAGGGGCCGACGGGTCCAGGGGGCTCGTGTCCCAAATGAGCCACAGGATGCCTGGCTTCTGAAAGGTGTCGTCCTTACGTTCTGCCTCGGAAGCAAAATGCCTCCCACATCTGGCTACACGTGTCTGCAGGCAGCGCGGTCCATCGTCCTGGCCGGCGAGCTGGGCGGCGGCGTATAGGAGTGCACGGCGGGCCGTGGGCCTGGCAGGAAGTATCCTTTGCGACGTGATCGGCACAATTCTACGGCGCCCCGCTTGCGACCTGTCTTTTGCCCCGTCTGAGGTGAGAAAAGGAAGCGAAGGGGGGAGGGCGCTCACCACTTCCGCTTGCGCCCATTGCTTTTCACGCGTGAACAGCTGAGGAAAAGCACATGGGCATAGAAGCACTCGTGGACATCGCGAAGTCGAGAAGAAGACCAGGCGTGACAATATGGGCAATACATATTGTTCACGCGAAATGGGGCAACATATGTGGCACCATCTGGGTTGTGCAATCGATGTTGTGCATTATTATGGTGCAATCTAGGTTGTACACTAGAAAGGTGTGCAACATAAATGGGGCACTCTATGTGGTGCAACGTACGTGGTGCAATTCACAATGCCGAAGTTGACTTTGTCAACTCCACTGCTCGCGCAATCATCTCACCAACCCGCAATTTGGTTTGCAAAACCCATGCGGCGGCGACTGCGATGACTGCTCGGTGCTGGCTGGCGCATCGCCGCGGCCGCGCTAGCGCGCATGCTCGCGCGCGCAGCTGCCAACTAGTTTGGCGCGACCGACGCGGCCGCGGTGGCGCTGACCGCTCTTTAATGCAAGCTGGCGACGTGGACGGGCACGGTATCATGGCAACATCGGCAACGGTAGACGCGATGATGAATACAGAGATGCTGGTGGCAATGGTGGAAGATGCCGACGACGATGACGGCGTCCTTGCGTCGGTGATGAAGGATTTGAACAGAGTTCGACATGCGAGCGCGGAAGACGCGCGAGAACGGCCCGCATTGTACTATCTGACACGGATCGTGCCCCCCCCCCGGCACGCGCGCAAGGGCGTTCGAATAATTTCGACATGCGGCGCGAGAGGTCCGTTTGGCAATATCTAGTGAGTTGAACCACAGATGGTATTCTTAAGAATTCTCAAGACCGCGAGCGCAGGCTTTTTTTGTGAAACTGGTTTTGCACACTCATGTGTTTTATATGTGTTCGGGGCACTTGATTCTGAAATCCTTACGACACGTACGGCTTTTGACGGAGTTCGACATGCGCGCGCGACGACGCGCGCGTGTGCACGTCGCCCCGTTTTTTGCAAGGGGTTCTTGCGACAACACGCACGCAAGGGCGTTTTTGTGATTCGGACATGTGCGTGCGCGAGGCCGGAGTGGTAGCATGTTCTGAACATGTTGAATCGATGGTTTTCCCGAGAATTCGAAAGAACGCGGGCGCATGCGTTTTTGAAAATTCCTGTTGCGAAGACACGTGTTCTTTATGTGTTTCCCGGACGTTCGATTCTGAAATCCTTACGACACCTTAGTTTTTTGAGTGATTGCGGCATGCGCGTACGACGACGCGCGCGTGTGCACTCCGTCCCATATTCTGCAAGTGTTTTTGAAAACTGACGAGTTTTGATGAACGGGCGTGCGCGCATATTTTCTTGTGCAGAAGATGCGGAAGGGGGAGCGATACCGGTTTGGCTGGGACGATACGAACTCATATTTGGGAGCAGGCCCGAAGGGGGCCCCAAACGGCCCCTTTAAGGCCCTTTTTTTCTTCACCCCCACATTGGGGTCACCCCCTATTACCACTTGCCCGACTCGGGACGGAAGCGCCGAGCGCACCTTTTGCAAGCAAAGGGGGGCTGCCGATGGAAGACGCCTGCGGTGAATCACCGCCGCCCCCTGCCATTTGGAATCGCCCATGTGGCCGGACGTTGCAGCAAGAGCTCTGTCAGGCTATCAGGCCATGTGTTCCCCCAACCATTGTAGAAACCTTTTGGGGGACACTTGGGGGAGGATGGCGGCGAAGATCATGAGGAGGAGGGGGCATCTGGGGAGCCTCTGGGGGCACTCTTGGTGCCTCCTGGGAGCTTCCTGGGAACCTCCTGGAGGCATCTTGGGGGCCTCCTTGGGCCTCTTGTGAGCTTTGGGAGCTTCTCGGGAACCTCTAAAGCGTCTAAAAGCATTCCTGGCCTGCCTGACGCCGTCGGAAGCCGCCTTGGAGGCCTCTCTTCTTTGGCCGTCTTGGGCCATCTTGGAACCATCCTAGGCCGTCTTGGTGGCCTCCTGGCCCGTCTGACGCCCTCGGAAGTTGTCTTGAGGGCCTCTCTGGGCCGACTTGGGGCCTCTTGGGGTGTTCCAGGGCCGTGTTGGAGGCCACCTAAGCGTTTTGCATGCTTCTTGGGCGGTCTTGGGGCCCTCTTGGGGCCGTCTTGGGGGCCTCTTGAGCCGTTCTGGGGCCATCTTGGAGGCCTCTTAGGCGATATTGGGGCGATCCTTCGGGGCTCTTTGGCCGTCTCGGGCCGTCAGGAGGCCGAAAAGAAGCACATGCCAAAATCCTTCAAAAACCTCAGGACAATCAATGACGTTGGCATCTTCGGGCCTTCCTGAAGGCCCTCTTGGGGCCTTCTTGGGGGCCGCTTGGGCCGTTCTGAGGCCATCTTGGACGCCTCTTGGGCGACCTTGGGGCGATCATTCGGAGCTCTTGGGCCGTCTCTGGCCGTCGGAAGGCCGAAACGAACCGACCCAAATCCGTCAAAAACCCAAGGACAATCAATAACTTTGGCCTCGTCGGACCTTCCTGGTCGACCTCTTGGAGGCCCCTTGGACCAATGGACCGTCTTGGAAGCCTCTTGGGGGCGTCTTTGGCCGTCTTGGGCCATCTTGAGGCCATATTGGGCCGACTTCGGGGCTTCTTGGACCATCTTGGGCCGTCTCGGAGGCCATCTTGGACCATCTTCGGCAAACTTGGAGGCCATCTTGGGCCATCTTGGCCCTCTTGGAGGCTATCGTGGGCCGTCTTCGGGGATTGTTTCTAGACGTTGAGGTTATTTCCGGTCCCTTCCGGGTGGCCGGCGGGACGGGCCGAAGCCCCAGGGGGAGCTCTCTTGGAAAAAAAAACCAAACCCAAACCAATAGGATCTAGCACGCTGGGCACCCCTGAGGCAAGACCACAGGGGGCGGCGGATCCAGTGGCAGTCGGCCCATCCCGCCACCGCGTCTGGGTCTTGGACAGGAGGCCTCTCTCTTGGGAGGCCTATTGGAGATCTCGGGCCTAGTGGGAGTTTCTTGGCGGCCAGGGCAACTTGGAGTCCTCAGGGGGCCTCTTGGCGGTCTGCTGTCGACTTGGGACACCCCCCAATACCACCCGCCCAACCAAAATCGTCCCAGTGGCTTCTGGCAAACCAGCCAGCCCTCCAGGCCCGGCGGGCGAACCATAGAGTAGCCTCCTCCGTCCCCCAGGACGTCCAACTGGAGGAGGATGAGGAGAAGGAGGAGGAGGAGGAGGACGACGAGGAGGAGGTCGGCCCTGCCTGGCCTCAAAAGCGGTCCCGAGAAACCTCCAGGACGGCTCAAGGTGGCCCCGAGGTGGCCACGAGATGGATCAAAATGGTCCAGGATGGCCCCAAGACGGCCCAGGATGGCCTCAACGCGGCCCAAGGGGCCCCCAAGACGCCCCAAGATGGCTCGAAGAGGAATCCCAGAAAGGCCTGAAGAGGCCAAATTCGCTTGCTTCAATGATTGTTTCGGTCTCCGTTTCTCGGGTTTCGGACATCCTAAGACAGCCCCAGCAGCCTCCAAGATACCCCCGAAAGGGCCCAAGAAACCCAGAGAAGTTCCCAAAAGGCCCCCAAGACGGCCCCAAGATGGCCCAAGAGACCTCCATGACAGCCCTAAAGCACTCCAAGAGAGCCCCGTAACGGCTCAGAGATGCCCCAGACGGCGTTCGACTGTGCCAGACTGCTTAAGAGAGGCCCTACAATGGCCCAGGTGCTCCCAAGAGGCCCCCCCAGAGGCCGCAGGAGGCCCTCCAGAGGCCCCAGCGAGACCCCTAGCAGGCCCAAGACGGCCCAAAGAGGGCGCCTTCTCTTCCTCCTCCTCTTGCTCCTCCTCCTCCTCCTCCTTCTCCTTCTTCTCTTCATCATACCCCATTTCCTCCTCCACGAATTTCCACAAGGGGTTTTCATAGCGGCTCTGGGAAACTACTTGGCCAGACTCTGGCCCAACGTTTTGTCTCATAGATAATTCGGGCAAGGGGCGGCGGTGACTTGCTGTGGGTGTCTTCGACCATGCAACATCTAGCAATACCGGCAGCAATCGTTGCCATGTCGACACTGACTATAGTCGGAGTGCTCGCGCTGGTGGTGGTGGTTGACGTGGTGGTGGTGGTGGTACAAGTGGTTCTTGCTGTGGTGTCAATCGTAGGTGTCATGGTGGCGCGAATGACGGTTGCAATCGATATCGGCACTGGTGCTGAAACTGTGAGCGCTTTGGGCACCGATTGTCGTTGACAAGTAGGAGCGCTTTTCTTTCTTCGCGGCGATAACGGGCATTATGGGGGGGCGCGGGGGTGTATAACGGATCGCCCCCTTCCCCCCGCCGTGCGGTTCCAGCGCCAACACAGCGCCCGCGCGCATGACGATAACGAGCGACGAGCGACGACGACGACGACGACGATGACGACGACGACGGCGACGACGACGAACGAGGCCGACGACGACGACGACGAAGACGACGAGCGACCACGACGACGACGACGACGACGACGACGACGACGACGAGAGCGACGAGCGACCACGACGACGAAGACGACCACGATGACGACGACGACGACGACGAGCGACGACGACGACGACAACGACGACGACGACGACGAGCGACGACGACGACTGACAACGAAGGGCGACGAGGAGTTGTGGCGAGAACATGCCTGCGAAGGCGTCGTTGTCTCCACGTGGCGTAGAAAAGGTCTGCTCCTTACCTTCCTCCTCCACTCCCGTCGTCGTCGTCGGTATCGTCGTCGTCCTTCTCCTCCTATTGCTCTCTCTCCTGCGAACACCACAAGGGCCTGGGAGCACTGCAACTTGTCCACGACCACCGCCCCTGTGCGGATCTCTGTGCGGCTCCCTATAAAGACCCCTCTGGGGAACCATATGCGCACGGCGGCAGTGCCGGGGGGGCACTGGGGGCCGGAGCGTTACGTCATGGGGGGGGGGGGGGGGGGGCACAACGCGCGTTATGGCCTAAGCAATAAAGAACTACGCTCTAGGGTAGAAGGTAGTGATGGTTGCAGCGCCAGTGGCAGTGATGATCGCACTTGCCACATCAAGGAGGACGATCTCCCGGGCGTGGCGGGGCGGAAGTGGGGAATGTGTTTTGATGTTCCTTCCCACCCCCCTTGCGTTTCAACCTTTACAATGACACACTGCCCGCTGCCTTCTGTCTGACAACCTCGCTACACACGCCCCGTCGTGCTATCGCGTTGAGTGTTCGCCCCGCCGGGTCGCGTGGGGCCGCCTGCTGGAAGCACCATCTCAAGACACGGCACTGGGCGAGGCTCGGCACCCCGACCAAAGAAGAAGGTGAGCGTTTTCTTACTCGGCGCTTCGACATTGGGCGGAATGGGGGGAGAGGGGAGGGGGGCGGTCTGGTTCCAGACCTCTGCTTAATGCGACTGTGCTGCTGCAGTGCGTCCCATCGGGTGAGGCTCCGCCCGCTCGAAACAGGCGCCAAAAACAGTCAGGATCTACTCCAGGAGAGGGGGGGGGCGAGGGGGGGGGGGCGCAAGGGCCCGCGCCGATCGGCAAAACAATGAACAAAAAAAACGATCACCAGACGACTGGCTTGTCTGGGCGCCTGCAGCGCTTCGCGCTGGCCCGCCCACAGCGCGTTGGCTTCCGCGCAGGTGGTCTGCGCCAGGGCGTGCACCTGCCGCCAGCCGACGGCAGCAAGGGGGCGCAGTGGAGCGGGGGCGGGGGATGGAGGACCGAGGCTGTTGCAGTGGAGGCCAGTCCACAAGAAACCCTGAGACCCCAGGACGGCCATTGATTTCTCGTGTGGGAGCGTCGCGCTTTCCACAGCAAAACCATCGAATCCCAAGAAACCCAGGGCACACTGGAGGCGAGCTGGGTGTTTCTTGGCATGGGCCTCAACTGTAACACTCTGTGCCTCTTCTTGGGCGGAAAAGGGACCAGGTGGGGTGGGGATGGTGGAGAAGGGTATCTCGGGAAGTGCAAAGGGGGAGGGCGTGGGGCGGGAGTACGGATGGGAAGAGGAGGATGACCGATCAACCGATCGGCTTCCGTTCCTGGCTTGACTGGTGCCCAGAATGCTTGCGAAGCCAATCACTCCGAAGATGAGGCTGCCGATGATGGTGATGGGGAAGAGGTGGATGTGCAGGTTCTGCCCTTGACCCTCGAGGCTCGAGAAGGTTGTACTTTATATCTACACGTATGTGCATTATATATATATATATATGTATGTGTGTGTGTGCTGGAGATTGGGGGGTGAGATCGCAATGGAACGGAGACACCCAATCGGGAAATCGTTTCGTTCGTTCGTGTCGTGCGTGCGGGCGAGGCGATGAACCGCCGTTGCTAGCGAAATCAAGACAAATGATTCTCCCCCGCCCGCCCGTCTGGCGGTGGCTCGCGGTGTCCCGCGGTGTCCCGTAGTATCCCGTGGTGTCCGCCGCTGCTAGGGCGAAGTGAAGACAAATGATTCTCCCCAGCCCGCTCGTCCCGCGATGGCTTACTTGCGGTGTCCCGCGGTGTCCCGTGGTGTTCCATGGTGTCCGCCGTTGCTAGTTAGGGCGAAGTCAAAACAAATGATTCTCCCCCGCCCGCCCGTCCGGCGGTGGCTCGAGGGGTCCCGCGGTGTCCCGTGGTATCCCGTGGTGTCCGCCGTTGCTAGTTAGGGCGAAGTCAAGACAACTTATTCTCCCCCGCCCGCTCGTCCGTCCGTCCGTCCGGCGGTGGCTCGCGGTGTCCCGCGGTGTCCCGAAGTGTCCCGTGATGTCAAGTGGTGTCCCGTGGTGTCCCGTTGATTGAGATCGGAAATGAGATCGACAGTGAGATCGATAGTGAGACCGATGTGGTGTCCCGAGGTGTCCCGTGGTGTCCTATGGTGTCCCGTTGAATGAGATCGATAGTGCGATCGATAATGAGACCGATAATGAGATCGAGAGGTGTCCCGCGGTGTCCCGTGGTGTCCCGCGGTGGCCCGCGGTGTCCCATGGTGTCCCGTTGAGTGAATCGACAAGGTGTCCCGTGGTGGCCCGTGGTGTCCCGTTGAGTGAGATCGATAGTGAGATCGGTTGAGTCAGATGTCGGTTACCCCCCCTCCCCCCACAACAACCTCCTTATCACCCGAAGGGTGGCCGTATAGGTATATCAAATGTTCGACAATTTTCGGGCGGTGATTGAATGTCTGTGGGCTCTCTGAAGGCCTCTGGAGGTCTCCAGGCACCCCATGGAGACTTCCAGAGCTCAAGATCCAGGGCGGAAGCGAAACATACCAGAATGGGAGGAAGAAGAGGGAAAAACAGCAAGAGTTGAGCCGGGCAGGGTCGAGCCGAGTTGACATGTGACCACGCCTGAACGTGCGCCTCATTTGGAAGCTGGGCGAGGGCTGGAAAATCCGTGGCTGCTAAAACGTACTTCCTGGAAGGAAAAAACAAATTCCCGGAATCAAGCTCAACGCACTAAATAATAAACGGGCTGCATCCCGGAATACCAAAAAACAATTTCCCAGAACTCCGTTTTAGCAGCCACGGGACTGCCAGCCGTCGCCCTTCTTCGGACTGATGCTGACCGTCTGTTTGCACTGGGTCTTGAGCTTCTGGTGGGCGGGCGCCGAAGCCGAGGCGAAGGCCAGGGCTGTGCTGAGGCTGACGCGAGCTGCTCCGAGAGCGGGCTGAACCTGAGCCTGAATCCGATCAGGAGAACGAGTTGGTCTGAGCTGCACCTGGGTTTGAGAGTGAGCCTGGGCCATGGCTAAGATGAGCCGAGCTGCTCTGAAGCTGACTACCTACCAGACCACCCCCACCCAACCCGAAGACCCGAATTTCGGGTTGGGGGGGGGTACGGGCTTCATGTGTTTTTTCAAAGTTCCCCGAGCCCCCCCACTGGAAATGGAGTGCAAATCGGGGCCTTCGGGTTGGGTTGGGGTGGTTTGGTGGGCGGTGAGAGTCCGAGCAGGAGAGCGAGTTGGTCTGAGATGCACCTGGGTTTGAGTCAGCCTGGGCCGGGGCTAAGATTAGGTCGGGCATGTCCCCCTACAGGCGGATTTTGGACGAAAATCAAAAATACTCAAACAAACAAAACACATACTCGAAAATAATCAAAAATCAAATAAAAAATCGGACCCATACTATATTGTAAAACTATGTTTGAATACTCATCCTGTAGTGGGACACGCCCGACTTAAGGCTAAGATGAGCCGAACTGCTCTGAAGCTCGTCGAGGGTTTGTCTCAGCTCGGCCGAACCGAGCCTAAACTGCGCCTGAGTCTGTCATGAGCTCAAACCTGCTGAGACTGAGCTTTCCTTGGTATTGTAGCTGGATCACTCCTTTGAACATGCTCGAGCCTGAGCTGGGCTGGCTCCGCTTCTGAATCTGGGCCGCGCCGAGCCCGAGCCTCGCCTAGAGCCCGAGCAGCTGAAGCTGAGGCACGGGGGCACGGAGACCGACCCGGAGCTCTAGCGGCTATTTCCGTGGAGGCGCTATTGGGAAGAAGAGCAGAAAAAGGACTTGCGGACCGCCCACAGCTGAGGAGAAGGAGGAGGTGTGGAGGAGTGGGAGCCGCCCCTGTGGCTCTACGAGGAGATCAACCATCGTGTCGGGAGGAAGGGGTAGGGAAGATGGAGGGCATGAGCAATAGCATTCGGATGTAATGAGCGATACCTTCGGCCGCCTACGGGTAAGGATATCCTCGTTTCTCCTTGTCCCATCCTCCCAACCCGAAGATTGTCTTCCTGAGTCTAGAGCCCGACAATGAATGACACATGACACCCAGGCGATAAGTGAGCCCCCATCCCAGTGGCCTGCGCCAGGTCGAAATCAGCTTCGACGGGCAAGTCGTCCACCTGATCCGGCTTTCGTGCGCTGGCGGAGGGGTCTTTCACCCTTCATCGAGCGAAGAGGGGCTACATGTCGAGAGGAATCAGGAAGGCGCATCAGAACCAACAAAAGCAAACCTCCTGGCTGGATCTAAGAATCTTCAGACCCATCAGAAACACCACCTTGACTGGCGCTTCGAGTGATGCCGGGCCATGGCGACGAGGCCCCAATGAGGAGCAACATCAAAATCACTCTCCTGCTAGGGGTCTGAATGGCGTTCGGAGTAGAGAGCAGATGCGGAGGCTCTTGGAAGGACCCCGCAAAGCTCTTAAGCTGGGATCGGGGCGTCCCTCGCAACGCCTGCGGGCATGGAAGCTCCCAGACCCTGGAGGTCTGTGGAGGCTTCGTTCCTGGAAGGCCACCCAGTCGTCACGGACTTGCAGCCATCCGCAATCCTCCGCAATTCCTGTGTGCCACACCTGTGGGGAGGCTCTTGGAGGCCCCCGTCGATAACCGAGCCACACGGTGGGCCCCCAAGGCCTGGGCGGCTCGCTGGAGCCCAGTGAGGCCCATGCCGGAGGCCACAAAGTCGCGCTTCCAGCCAAGATCTCCGACAATCCGCTTGCGCCGCTCCCTCAGGGAGGCCTCCTCCTCCTCCTGCTCCTCCTTCTCCACCTCCTCCTCCCCCTCCAGCTCATTTCGCGGAAAAGACTGCCTCTTCCTCCTCCTCCTGCTCCTCCTCCTCCTCCTCCTCCTCATCTTCCAGCCTCTTTCACGGAAGAGACTCGAGGGAGACCTGGAAGGCCTCTGTGGGCACTCGGAAGATTCCGAGGGCCACTGGAAGGCCCACGAGTCCCTTGGAGACCTCCTGAACGTCCCAAGCTATTGCCTTGAGGCCCTCTGGGATCAAGGATTGGCGGTGACAACCAATCGGACCCTATCCCTTCGCGCAACCACTGCCAGCATGGGACCCCCAGCCGCCCAACACTAGCACTAGAGGGCATGGTGGTGGTCTAGATTATCAATGTTTGAAGTTCGCGCTGCGCGAGTGGCGATGAATGGTTACCTTCGCGCCTGTGCGCCGCCCTCTGGAGAATTTACGCCAATTGGCCCATGATTACCTATCGGCCTTGGGCGACTTTGGGTGATCTTCGGCGATCTGTGGCGGTCCTCCGCGGTCTCCGGAGGTCTTCTGCGCGAAACTCTGCTGTTGCTGACCACTGACCGATGGCAGACTGGCGACAATGCCACCTTGTGCCCCTCAAGCACTCGTTTCTGTCGGCCAGAGGAACGCTCGCCGCCAGCAGAACTCGACGTCCGCCGCCAGGTCGTCTGCGGGAAATTTGGACGACTGCGTTGGGCAACAGTAGCCCTGGCAAAGGTCACCTTTAGTGCGCTGCTTCAGCGGGGGTGCGGGCAGGCCAAATCTGGAGACTCGTCGCAGGCGTCTGCGGGAATGCGAAGACGGAATGAGGGAAGAGCACAGTCCTCTCCATCCTCCTCCTCCTCCTCCTCCTCCTCCTCCTCCTCCTCCTCCTGCTCCTGCTCCTCCTCCTCCTCCTCATCCTCCTCCTCCTCCTCCTCCCCCCATCCCTGTTCCTCCTCCTCCCCCTCCTTCCGCCTCACGCTCCCTCATCCTGTGTTTCCTCTTTGCTCCTGCTAATCCCCCCCTCTGTTTGCTTCTCTTCCGAATTCCTTCTCCTCCTAATCCTCCTCCTCCTCCTCCTCCTCCTCCTCCTCCTCCTCCCCCTCCTCCTCCTCTCCCTCCTCCTCCTCCTCCTCCTCCTCCTCCTCCTCCTCCTCCTCCTGCTCCTGCTCCTGCTCCTGCTCCTCCTCCTCCTCCCTCCTCCTCCTCCTCCTCCTCCTCCTCCTCCTCTCCTCCTCCTCCTCCTCCTCCCCCCATCCCTGTTCCTCCTCCTCCCCCTCCTCCTCCTCCCCTCCTTCTTCTCCTCCTCCTCCTCCTCCTCCTCCTCCTCTTCCTCATGTTTTGTCCTTTTCCCCCCCGCGCGCACCCGCGGTCCCACGCGCCCCCGAGCCGCGACGCGAGCGCAGGGCGCGCCAAGGGCGCGCCAAGTGCGCGCCCAGCGCTGTGGTCGCGGAGGCCCCTGGGTACGGTGGGGGCATTGGACAAGAAATCCTTAGACAAGGAATCCAGGGTCTGGAAGCCAGTGGGATTCCAATCGCGGATCGGCCATGGATATCGCCGCCGCCCTAATCAGAGAAAGAATCCTGCAGGGTCTGCAGCCTCCAAGGCGGAGTACTTAACCAACGCCTCCACCGTACCGCCAGGGGTCCACGCTTCAGTTTGAGAAGAGGGGAGGGGAGGAACAAGTGGCTGCAATACCATCCTACACCCTGAGGCCCAGCAAGAGAGGGGGATGGGAGGGGGAGGGAGAGGCGCGCCCATCGCCCCTTCAACCACATTCATGTAGATGTGGTCGCGTGCCAGCGCGTCGTACATGTAGTGGTTCTGGCACCCACGTTGGCCGCGTCTCTTGAACCATATTCTCGATGGTGCACGACCACCTCACTCAACGTCGTATTACTCAGCCCATGTTCTTCAAGTACCTCCTGACCATGTCCATCTCGGTGATCCGCAACTGCGCTACATGTCGGCGGCCTCGTGTGGCTGCAAATCTACAGACGTCCGCCAGAAATCGGTCACGGTCTTCTGGGATCAGAGGGTCGTGCCAGACCAGGAGGACGCGCAACCAATAGGCCACGTTTGCTGCGTCAACCGCTTGCTGTAGGGCGTCGGCGTCCACCACGTATCGGTACGCTGTAGACCACCTGCCGTCGTAGCTGATGACAACGGGCTCTTGTATTGCTGTGCCTCCGTCCTCGCGGTGGACGGTATCGGGTTCGTGTTCGGTGTGCACCCGTCGAAGATACGTACTGACATCGGGTCAATTTCTGTTGGTGTCTGTTGGGCGAACCGTCCTGCGCTGGGCGTCCAGCG